TCCCTAAAATTAACTTGTTTCTTTTTACCTTTTTCTTCCTGTGGCTACCAAAAAGCTTGAAAGTACACATGGCTGATGTTTATACTTCTATTGGGCAGTGCTGGTGTAAAAAAGTACTAATCTTTTGAAATTTGTTGAGATTTGCTTTATGGTCCAGGCTGTGCTTAATTTTATCTGTCACATGTATCCTTGAAAAGAATATGTGTTATCTATTTGTGAAGAAGAGTGTTCTATATATGTGCACAGGTGAAATTTTTAAATTGTTTTTATCAGGGATGCCTGGGTGGCTCATTTAGTTAAGTGTCTGCCCTGGGCTCAGGTCATGATCCCTGCTGGGGTCCTGGGATGGAGCCCCATGTCAGGCTTCCTGCTCAGTGGGGAGCCTGCTTCTCTTTCTTCCTTTGCCCCTCCCCCTGCTTGTGTTCTCTCACTCTTTCTGTCGAATAAATAAATAAAATCTTTAAAAAAGATTTTAGGGGATCCCTGGGTGGCTCAGCGGTTTGGCGCCTGCCTTTGGCCCAGGGTGTGATCCTGGAGTTCCAGGATTGGGTCCCACGTCGGGCTCCCTGCATGGAGCCTGCTTCTCCCTCTGCCTGTGTCTCTGCCTCTCTCTCTCTCTGTGTCTCTCATGAATAAATAAATAAAATCTTTAAAAAAATAAAAATAAAAAATAAAAAAGATTTTAAAAATAAATTGTTTTTATTAAATCTTTTTGGATCTTTACTGTTTTGTCCATCAGACTGATCAACAGTTAGGGAGATACATAAGAATTTCTTGCTATAATGGTGGGTTAGTCTTTTTCCTTGTAGTTTTGTCTTTTTTTGCTTTGTATTTCTTAAGATTATGTTATTAGGTGTTTATAAGTTTTTTTTTTTTTTAGGTGTTTATAAGTTTAGACTTGTGGTAGCTTCCTGATGAAACTGCTTGTCTTTATGTAGTGAGGTCTTTGCCCCTAGTTATTTTTTTCCTTTTATCAGATATTAGAATAGCAACAAAGATTTATTTTGCTTGGTATTTGCCTGTTTACATATTATTCTATTTTTTCTCATACTCTTTTTTGCATTTTTGTATTTTAGAAGTGGGTCTTATAAATATCCTTTCATTGGGTTTTCTTTTTTTAAGGGTCTGATTTTTTTAGTTTATCTCAAAGATTAGTCCATTTTCATTTGTTGTAGCTACTAATTTATTTGAATCTATTCCTACTCTCTTTTTTTGTGCTTTGCATATACATATATATCCTGCCTTTTCTATACTTTTCTCCCTTTTATTGCCTCCCTTTAGATGGATTATTTTTTCTTATTCCTTTTTATTCCTCTAGTAGTTTGGAATTTTCTATGCTCTGTTTATATTCTTTTGTTGGCAATTTTGGAAATTTTAAAATGAATACTAACTTGTCAAAGTTTAAAGGTGGTTACTACCATTATCTGCCTTGGAAATGATATAGGGATCCTGGAATATTTCAATTAAATGTAGTTAATTACATTTAATTGCTTTAAATGTGCCTTTCTAATATATGTATTATCTAGTAAATTGATCCTATCTTATTTTTTAATCCCCCAATTACACACTGTTATAGTTTCATATGATCAATGTTCATCTAGATTTAACAACATATTTGTTATTTTCTTTGCTCAAAATTCCTCCTTGCATCTCAGCTTTCCTCTCAGGTATTATTTTTCCTTTCTGCTGCCTCAGGTTCATCCTTTAAACATTTTGTTTCTTGAGAAAAATAAAATTATCAAGGATAACAATAATTCTCTTGGTTTTCTCTAGGATACCTTTGTTTGATCCTCATTCTCAAAAAATATTTTGTCTGGGTCCCCAGTTGATAGTTATTTGCTTTAAGCAGGTTAAAAATATTATTCTTCTATGTTTTGCCTTCCATTGTGACTGTCAAGAAGTTAGCTGTTAGTCTAATTGCCATTCTTTGTACTAAAAATGTCTTGGCGAGAGGCATTTATAGCACATGGTTAAAGGTGTAGCCTCTAGAATCAGACTGCCTGGATTTAAATCCCAGCTCTTTGGTCTGGTGGCTGTGAGACACAGAGCAAGCTGATTAACCTCTCTGTGCCTCTGTGACCCTCAGTTTCCTCTTCTGTAAAATGGAGAAGCAGTCCCTAGTTTACAGGGTTTTGGTGAGGATGAAATGAGCTAATGTAAAACATTCAGAAGCATGGTGGCACAATTTCGTGCTATTGCAGTGTTAGCTGTTGTTTTTTCTCTTTATGCTCTTAGGCTCTCCTCTTCACTGGTGTTGGGCAGCTGCACTATGTTGTGTCAAGGTGTGGATTTACTTTTACTTACCCTGTTTGAGATTCACCGAGCTTTCTGACTCTGTGAATTGTTGCCTCTTACCAATTCAGGAAAAGTCTTAGCCATGTATCTTCAAATCCTGCCTCTGCCCAGCTCTCTCTCCTCTCTCCTGGAACTTCAGTCTGATCAATTAATCAGTTAGTCCCTATTCCCTCTGTCCTTCTGTCTCTTTCACTGTGTTTCACAGTCTCTGCATTGCAAATACTCCAGATGATTTAAAATCTGTTTTCTCGTTCTCCAACCTATTCAGCTGTGTCTAATACGCTATCAAACCTACATATTAACGTCTTACATTTTAGTGATTATTATCTTCTCTTTATTTCCAGAAGCTTGTTCTGAACCAGAGCTGCTTGGTTACAGTTGAATATGGTTTTGCCCCTCGTTCATACGTTTGACTCCTTTTGTTTTGTTAAACACATTACGCATATTTTGTATTCTAGTCTGATAAATCCAGCGTCTAAAGTCTTTGCTGGTCAGATTCGGCTGCCTGTTGTTTTGCAGCCTCATAACGCTGATGTAGACACCCCCAGACAGGGGCCTGTCAGAAAGTTTTCAGCCATGGAGGGTAATTCTTTTTTTTTCCAGATTTTATTTATTTATTCATAAGAGACATAGAGAGGGAGGCAGAGACGTAGGCAGAGGGAGAAGCAGGCTCCATGCAGAGAGCCTGATGTGGGACTCAATCCCAGGACCCCAGGATCATGACCTGAGCCAAAGGCAGATGTTGAACCACTGAGCCACCCAGGTGCCCATGGAAGGCAATTTTAAATATCTTCCCTGCTTTCCTTCCCAGATGTCCCATTTTCTCCCCTCTTCCCTTTCCTCAATTTACTTTTTTGAAAGGCTGATTCATTCCTGTGGTTTAAAAAAAAAAAAAAAAGTGAAAAGTCTCCATTCCAGCTCCCTGTCCCTTTCTTACCAGCAGCCTCTGTTTTTAGGTTTGTGGACACTTCCAGAGATATTTGATGCAGATTCAAGCAAATAAATTTAAAATTTCTTTCTCTTTTAACACAAATGGCAGCACACTACATACATTGTTCTAAACTTGTTTTGTAATTTAAAGAATATGTCTCTGATTATAAAAGAAATACATGCTCATTTTGAATAACATAAATACCCAAGTGCCTACAAGCAGAAAGTGAAAGTCCCTCTGGAATTTCATTCCCCAGAGATAACCTCCATTACACGTCTATAAATATATATTTACATAAATGGGCTTATGCAACATACTGCTCTGTAACCTATTTTTTTCCCTCCAAATAATAAGCCTTGCCATCTTTCCATGAATCTTTCCACATCTGTCCATGTTGTCTACATAGCCCGTAGTTCAGCGCCTGGTCTTGAGTCAGATGGAAGTATGTTCAAATCCTACCTCTGCTCCTTAGTAGCTGTGGGATTTTTCAGATCCTCTCTGACCCTGTTTTCCTCATCTGTAAAATGGGGGTAGAAATAGTATATACCTCATGGTGTTGATCTGAGGCCTTAATAAGATCATGTATGATGTGTTTCTCCCTTCAGGAGCAGCTACTGTATAAGCCTCTGATGAATGATAATTTTTATTATGACTCTTTTTAGTGGCCAGTTAGAATCCACAGTATGATATGTCATGGTTTATTAACCATTTCCTCTTTGATGAACATTGGAGGGTACTCATTTGCTTTTTGTGGGTTTGGTTTTGTTTGTTTGTTTGTTTTTGCCAATCCCATGAACACTGAACATCTTTCTCTTTTGTGTGAGTGTCTTCTTGTGAACTCCCTACAGTGGGGTCACTAGCCCTCTGAATCCTAATCTCTACATCCTTTCTCTCCAAGGAGGAAATGAAAATGCCCCATGGGGTGAAGCACGTGTGTTACGTAGGTTTTTGCTTTTATTACTGCTCTTCCTCCTCCCCGTCCTCAGGTCTGGTGGGGTGGGAGGGGTCGTTCACATCAGAGGCCCCTCTGGGCTGCTCTGTAGTACTCCCCACTTCTTGTGATGCTGAACCTAGGACTTCCAGTTTCCCCCAGACTTTGGAACCTCACCATTCATGACAATTCACTCAAAGGTTAGATTTCAGACCCATCTACTTTCACAATAGTTCCCCATGGTTTGCAATAAATTAAAAGAATCAAAACATACTTGAAATGGGAGAGGAACCTTAAAGTAAGAGAGAAAGGAGAAAAAAGAAGGGGAAATCTTGATGTGATAACCTCTCACCCTCTGCCAATCCTGGAAAGGTACAACAAAGTTAATGCTGAGCTTCCCAGCAGCCAAAGCAAAAAGGGCAAAAGGATAGATTCTATAGCTCACAAAAAGACCAAAAACCACTCTGCACCTTGAAATACTTACAAAGGGCTGAGGGTGAGAGGGGAAGACGAGAGGGTGAGAATAAAGACAGATTTCTCTCCTGTCACAGAGACCATGTAGTCAGCAAACATTTCTTGAATGCTACTTTGTGTCAGGCCTATTCTAGGCAGTGGGTATAAAGCAGGACCAAGACATCTAGTTCTCTGTCCTCATGTTGCTTGCAGTGCATTGGGGGAAAGAGACTAAACCAAGTACAGGTGAAGCGAGGTCTGGGAAGGGCCTCGCTGCTCAGTTCTGAAGTGCTTTCCTACCCCTGCAGCTTGGTTCCGGGCCAGTGATCCACCTCCTGGGGGCCATCAGCCATGGCCAGGCAGGGGAGCCTCAGCCTCCAAAGCTGGAGGTTCTGGAGAACATGATGGAGGTCAGCTTAGCATCACTGGTCCAGAGGCCCAGAAGGAAGGAAAGGCCCATGGCCCAAGGCCCCAGCGGGTGCCAGGTAAGAGCAGGTTCTTCACACAGGCAGCGTTAGTTACATAATCCCTGCTGAGACACACGTTCACACCTGCCTCACAGAGATGTCACTGCCACCACACAGGTGTGACTGGCTCATGGTCACACAGAACATGATAGCCAGAGACAGGGTTAGACCGCCACTTGTCTGGCTGGGCGGTGGTGTGTGTGTCTGTGTGTCCTTTGTCCTGTACTCCTGAATTCAGGAGCGTGACTGGAGCAAGGCAGGGGCTGAGCTTCCAGTGCATTCAGAGAAAGAGCAATCGCTGATCTTTGTTCCTGGCTGACCAGCATGTCCTGCCATCGTCAGGCCCTCTGGCCCCCTCCCTCAGCAGGGATGCATGGGCCCCTGGTGGCCTCTGACTTCTTTTGCCATCTGAGGAGTCATTCCATTCCCCTCAGCGACCCCCCTCACCCTATCCATATCGTCTTTCTCTGGCAGGAGGGAGCTCCTGTTCAGAAGGCCTGGCCTGAGTGTCCTGGGGTGAGTGCTGCTTCCCCTGCCCAGCATGGCTCAAGGAGAAGGTGGGGAGGTGATTGGGGGAGCAGCTGCTCCCAGATCATGGCTTCAGTTTCCCCTTCCCCACAGTCTGTCCCTGTCAAGGCTAAAGAGGAGGAGCCTGGTAAACAAGATGGAGGAGAAGACTCGGGTGAGGGGCTGTGGACTTGTCTTCCAGGGGCTGCTTGGGACTGTCGGGGCCTCCTGCCCAGCTTCTGGCCCCAGCCTCTGCTAGCACTCTTTCTTCTCTCACCTCTGATCCCCCACTCCCACTGCCTTCAGTCCTTCCCCAGAGGGATGGGGGCTGCCAGCTGCCTGGGACTGGATCCTAGACATCTCAGGTCCCTAAGGGTGGGCCCCCCCCCCCCCCGTTGCCTATCTAAACCCCTCAGCATTGAGTTACCCCCTCCTCTTGCTCTACTGCATCTCATGGGAGTTTGTGACTCTTTTTCTGTAGCTCAGCTTCAGCCTCAACAGGAGAAGCTATCCCTGGATGTTGGGGTACGGAACACTGTGGTCCATGCCATGCAGGAGGTGCTGCGGAGCCGGTAAGGCCTCACTCCCCACTTCCCTGACATCCGTGACATCCTGAGAGCCGTGCTCACCTCCCCGGCCCATGCCATGTTCTCAGGGCTTCTGAATGTCTGACTAACCCCATTTTGTAGCTGTGAGGTCTTTTGCCAGCACAGTGAGCTGGTGGAGAACTGACATTTGAACCTGGGTCTCTCTGGCTTCAAGGTCATACTCTCCCATTTTGCCAATGCTGCTCATGTCCAAATGGTCATGACCCACAGCAAATGCTTTCAGACACAGTGAGACTCCACTGGGAGCATCTGAGAGATCTGAACCCCGAGCTTTCATTTACAATGGTGAGACCAAGGCTCAGAGAGGGTAGGACTTGGCAAAAGTCACACACGTTGGGCAGCCCCAGTGGCTCAGCGGTTTAAGGCTGCCTTCAGCCCAGGGCCTGATCCTAGAGACCCGGGATTGAGTCCCACGTCAGGCTCCCTGCATGGAGCCTGTTTCTCCCTCTGCCTGTGTCTCTGCCTCTCTCTCTCTCTCTCTCTCTCTCTCTCTGTGTGTCATGAATGAATAAGTAAAATCTTAAAAAAAAAAAAAAAGCCACACACGTCACCCCCCACGACCTGGTGCAGGGCTCTGTTCCCTGCTCTGTCCCCTGCCTTCTCACCCCACTGCACCCCCACCCAGGCTTCCTCCATCACAGTTCCACTGGCCAAGGCTAAAGCCTGGGCTGAGCAGTCAGATCTTGCTTTGTCACTATCATGTGGCCATAGGCAAACCCCTTACATTCTCTGAGCCTTGCTCATCCCATCTATAATGGAGAATGATAGTATCACCTCCTCACAGAGTTGGGGTGAGAATAAATGTGTATATGTAGGAAGATGTGCAGAATTTAGGCTCTCGGGTAGAGAGCCTAAATCGCCTCATGGGCTCAGAGCCGTGGTTCCACTCTTAACCCCCACAGCCTCCAGGAGCTCCCAGACCTGGTGCTGAGTGAGGAGGCGGTGGAGGGCATCGCTGCTGGCATCGAGACAGCCCTCTTCAACCTGACACAAACCACCAGCTGTCGCTACAAGACCAAGTACCGCAGCCTGCTGTTCAACCTGCGTGACCCCCGGAATCCAGTGAGATGGGTTTGGGGCAAGGCCAGACCCTCTCTTGGAGGCTTGAGGCCCTGGCAGGATGTTAGGGTGGGGGCTTCTGAAGCAGTGTGGTGCAGCCCCCATGCCTGCCCCTGCAGGACCTATTTCTCAAAGTGGTTCGGGGAGATGTCACCCCCGAAGACCTGGTGCAGATGAGCTCAACCCAATTGGCGCCCCAAGAGCTGGCCTGCTGGCGGGACCAGGAGGAAAAAAGGGTGAGCTGTTGGGTCAGGTCAGGATAGGTGACGGAGGAGGGACACGGGGAGGGGATGGCCCAAAGATGCAGCAGAAGAGACAGCAGAGTGAGGGGGCTGGGCAGTGAGATCTGGGGAGCACAGGACAGAGATGGGAGGAAATGGAAAGAGCGAGCACACATGGAGAGAGAGAGAGAGACTCTCTCCACAAAAAAATGGAAAAGAAGCTGCGGGGGTGAAACGGACTGGGGATGGAAAGATTGGTAGAGAGGTGAAGCCCCGAGAGGTGTCATCGTCCACTTGCTTTTCCGTGCAGCTGGGCTGTGGGTGGGGCGGGGTACTGGGCGTGATGGTCCGGAGTCTGGAGTCCAGGATTGTCATCCACCATTGATGGGGGTAGACAACCCCCTGGCGGTCCCCCTGCTCTCATCTCAGCCTCAGAAGCCCTCCAAAAGACTGGAAGTCTTCTCACTGCCCCAGGCTGGGGTAAGGACCCCATAGCCCTCATGCTCCACAGTTATGGCCCTGTATACCCCATGTCCATGGGTGTCTCCTTCCTGCTCAGGGACAGGGAAGGTGTGGGCACTGAGCCGCCTTTGGGGAATGCTTGCTGGTGGTCCATGAGAGAGAGGGGACTAATCTAAGAATAGGCCAGTGGGATGGGTTGGCGTGCTGAGGCCCCTGTTCTGAAAGACATTGGGCTGATTAGATTCACCTAGAATCCACTGGGTGACTGTCCACTATAGGCTGGGCTTCTGTCCAGGGACCTGTGGAGGACCAGGAGCAGGACCAGCTACATAACTTGGTGGGGGCAGTGCAAAACAAAAATGTGTGGCCTTTTGTTCAGCAACTATTAAGAATTTCAAGGTGGCGACAGTGTAAAGCATGGGGCCCTGTGAGGTGTGGTGCCCTGTACAACAGCAGGAGCCCACACTCATGAAGCCAGCCCTGCCAGAGAGGATGGGACCTCCTCCAGGCTTCCAGGAAACATTACAGATAGGATGACATTGATCAACAATAAGAATGACAGGTAGCATTTACTGTGAGCCAGCCTCCAGCCAAGCATTCTACATTTGCTGTTTAATTTAATGCCCTTAATTGAATTCCTAGAGAACAGATAAACCGAGGTTCAGAGCAGTGAAGTGCTTGTGCAAGGCCACACTACCTTGGGGGTCTCTAGTAACAACCCAACTGATGCTCCAGAGCCTGCACTCTTTCGACTACACTGTATCCTTCCCAGGACAGAGGCTGGGGTGCAGTCAGAGGCGGAATTGGCTTGTGGGAGAAGGTGAAGTTCAGGAAGGCTTGCTGGAGGAGGCAGGTCTTGAGTTTGGAGGGTGAATGAGTAGAATATGGAGCAGTAGGGCATGGGGCTTGTTAGGTGAGGGGAGTGGTGGAAGCAGAAGTATGAAGGAAGAGGAAAAGTTGGCACAGGAAAGGGGCCTCGGGAGGAAAGCGCGCGCTTGGGCTCCTGGGGGCTTGAGACCCCCTGACCCGGTTGAGTTTGGGCTGCTGGGCCCTACCAGGGCCTGGAGATCATTGAGCAGCAGCAGAAGGAGCTGCGCAGCCTCCCGGCCTTCAAGCTGACTCACAAGGGTGAAGTCGAGATCCTGCGGGACGTGGACCAGATGCTGACCCTAGAGGATCTGGTGGTAAGTGGCAGCCTGGCCTGGCTCGGGTTGGGGGCTTGTGCCCAGGGTCCCACTCCTCACCTCAGCAGCTGGGTGACCTTGAGCAAGTCACTGGACTACTGTGCATCTCAAGCTCTTTGTCGTGAACAAAGTGGTGACTATTACCATGGGGGTCCAGGTGATGTGGGGCGGAACCCTGGCCCTGGCCTGTCCACACCTTCTTGGTGCCGATCACTTCCTTCTGGCCTGATGCCAAGGCACCCCACATGAGTGGTAGCAAGATCTCTGTGTCCACCACAGATCTCTGATTGGGAAGCAGGAGGGCCATGCTGTTTGAGTCAGTGACTGCTTCTGGATGTGAACAATACAGACCTACTCTCTTTGGTGGTGGGGTTTAGGGATGCTATCTATGTGCACTGCGGAACCACCTGGAGCCCAAGGCAGTTGCTACACTCCCCTCTTATTGCTGGGGATCTGCTCCATCCTCCTGTCCATCCTGCTCCTTCCTTCTTCCCCTTTGCCCCTCCATCCTGCATGTGGCCTGACATGGTGGCTCAGCAGCCCTCAAATCAATGAGCTCATCATCAGCTCAGCCTCCCACAGACGATCGGAGCTCCCCTTGGCTTATTGCAGCCACTCTCAGGAGGCTGCTCTGGCTTAGCTGAGGTATTCCCTGGGTCAGATGTTCACCTGACTCTAATCAGCTATGTGTCCGGGATGGACAGTGTGGACGGACCCCATGAGCCATGCTCATTGGGTAAATGACAATGAGCACGAAAGACAAAAATCCCTGCTCCCCTTCCAAGCTGGTATCCAGGCCAAGCACCAGAACGGCTGCCTGTGTGGAAGGGAGTCCCCAACCCAAACCAAGCGGTATTCCCTGAATACATTGAACATAATTGTAAATGGAGGAACTAGAAGACCCAGAAAGAAGTCTCCACTGGGGAGAGAGTTGCAGAGTAGCATAATATCATCCTTCCTCGAGCACCTGCTGTGTGTCCCTTTACTGTTTACAAACAGTGCCTCATTCAGATCCCACCGTGACCTACGAGGTAGGGGAGGCCATGTCCTGGATCAGGAACCTGAAGCCCTTTGCCCAGGGTCACGTAGTGGGTCATGGGGGAGCGGTGACTTGAAGCCCGTGCCTTGGTGCTACTCTGGAGGTGGTTTAGGAGGCAAGAGTTTCAGGATCTTTTAAAATCTTCCTCAAGCCAGGTTTGTTTTGTGTTTGAAGCGGTCTCTACTGTGAGGGGGAAGGGGGATTAGGCAGGGAGCATCAAGTCTCAGAAAAACGTTCCTTCTCCCTGATTCTGCCATCTGGGGCTGAAAACTTGTCCCAAGGACGTAGTTGAAATTCTCAAAAAACACTTTCTGCATGAGGATGTCCTCAGCACTGTTTGCAGTGGTGAAAATGTGGGAACCACCTCACTGTCCCGCAATCGAGGCGATGCCTCGAGTGTCGGCGCACCAGTGGACAGGCCCGTGTAACGTGCAGATGGCCCCGCTGTGGTGCACGGATGCAGTGAGAATACAGGTTGAACATCTGATCCCAGCTGTTCTAGTCAAAGGACCCCCCAAACCCTGTGGTTAGGAAAACCGTTACAGGGAATACCCAGAATGCCCATCACTGTCTCTGAGTGCTGGGACGAGGGGTGATTTTTAGGTAATTTTCATATTTTCTATACTTCCCGGATTTTCTTTCTTTCTTTCTTTCTTTCTTTCTTTCTTTCTTTCTTTCTTTCTTTCTTTCTTCTTTCTTTCTTTTTAAGATCTTATGTATTTATTCATCACACACACACACAGAGAGAGAGAGAGAGAGAGAGAGAGGGAGAAGCAGGCTCCATGCAGGGAGCCTAATGTGGGACTCGATCCCGGGTCTCCAGGATCACGCCCTGGGCTGAAGGCGGCACTAAACCGCTGAGCCACCCGGGCTGCCCTATAACAAGCTCATGGTACCTCTGCAATAAAAGGATGTGTTATTTGGAAAAATAAGACCACATCCCCGAGGCTCCCCACTCATGGAGATCTGCTCGCACCCCCGCCCCCAGCGCCTTTCCAGTCTACCCGCTCTCTCCTCTTGTGCCTCCTAGGAACCCATGGTGTCCATAGACTGCAGCACCTTGGCCCTGCCTGCCCCATCAAAGGCCACCACAGAGCAGGACGAGGACACCACGGAGCAGCACGAGCACCACTTCCTGGACCCCAGCTGCCGAATCTGCATGGGTTTGGGGAGACACAGGCTGGGTGAAGGGGTGGTAGGCAGGCTGGGGCTGAGGGTGGGCTCAGTAGTAACAGGGATTCATGGCCCTGGGAGAAGGTGGCAGGCTGGGCACACCTGTGTCCCAGGTTACTTCGAAAAGAACCTGTTCAAAGCCTGGTTCTGAAGCCCTAGGCTGGCTTCATCTAGCTGCCTGCCTGTCAGCTTCCCTTCTGTTCTTTGCAGACTGGAAGCCCTCGTGTGAGCTGCCAGACTCCCTCACAGCTACTAGGAGGATGGGGGACAGTGTCTTCCAGAGGGTCCCAAGCCCGGCCCTTGCATCCTCTCCAGAGATGCCCCAAACTAGGGAGAAGCCTCCCACACAGCTCCAGGACAGGTGGGGGACTGGGACTGGGGGAGGGTCCATGGAGGCGGCCACGTGGGGGGCAGCAGACACAGTATGGACTCTTCTTTGTGGTCTTGGGCTAACCCCGCCTCTTCTGGGGGTCTCAGTTTCCTCCTCTGTGCAATGGAACCAATCATCCCTGTCTGCTGGTCCCCACCCCCACCCTTACAAGGCCATGCTTGGTTGAGTGTTCCAGCACCCACATTAGGAACACAAGACCTTCTCTGAAAAGTCAGGAGATGCTGAGGAATGTCCTGCCAACCTGCTCTGTCTGGCCCTCTCTGTCCTCTCTAGGCTCCAGATGCCTGCTGGGCCCACAGAGGCCCTGCCCGGCCAGCCGCCCTGGGAGGGAGCTCTGGACATGTTCTCCATCAAGCGGTTCAGAGCTAAAGCCCAGCTGGTCTCTGGAAGCAGCTGTCGGCTCCTCATGGTACTCCAGCCCTGCTCACCAGGGTCTCCCTCACACACTGGCCAGTCAACTCCTCTCACCACTTTCATTCATTCTTTTACTCCTTCTAAAATAAGGCATTGGCACCCTGTCTGTGCCTGGCCCTGTGCTGGGCATGGGCCAAATGAGACACCAGCCCATTCCTGCAGGGACACACAGGTCAGACTCCCTGTAACCCAAGGCCCAATGTGAGAGGGCCCCAGGAGAGGAGTCTCATGCCTCTGTAGCCCAGGGGAGGGTTTTAGGAGTGACTGTTGAGTGAACAATCAGCTGAACTGTTGGATGTGGGTGGAAGATTCAAGGAGGGAGGACAGGGCTTCTGAGGAGCTGTAGGAGACTGGCCCCAACAAGCTGTAGACCTCCAGTGGCAGTCACGGCTTCCTGGGCAGCCACTGACCTTCCTGGGGTCCTGGTATCCTGTCGGTCCATCCTTGTCACTGAAGGCTATGGCTTCTCGGTAGCTGGTGTTGAGGGCTGACCAGCCATCCCTACCTATCTCCAGGCCCTGCCTGAGGTGATCCGTTCAGCAGGCTGCATCCCCTCCAATACTGTCTGGGAACTTTTGGCCAGCATCTGCCCAGCCAAGGCCAAGGTAACTGCCATCCTCTCCCCCCTCTCCTTCTAGCATGGGACCCTTCTAGCATGGTCCCCCTCTCTCCACCTCTGGAGCAGAGACCTGGTTTAGGGTGTTGGGGTCTAGTTCCCACTATAACTGTAGACACTCAAGTCCCTCTCTTTCCTCCTCTGAAAAGTGGGGACACACATCTTCACAAGGTCATCAGAGGTTTTTTGATTTAAGATTTCATTTATTTATTCATGAGAGACACACAGAGAGAGGCAGAGATATAGGCAGAGGGAGAAGCAGGCTCCCTGTGGGGAGCCCAATGCGGGACTCAATCCCAAGACCCTGGTATCATGCCCTGAGTCAAAGGCAGACGCTCAACCACTGAGCCACCCAGGTGCCCCTTGTCAGAGGTTTATTATTATTTTTTAAGATTTTATTTCTTCATTCATGAGACGAAGAGAGAGGGACAGAGACATAGGCAGAGGGAGAAGCAGGCTCCTTGCAGGGAGCCCGATGTCTCCAGGATCACGCCCTGGGCTGAAGGCTGCACTAAACCGCTGAGCCACCCGGGCTGCCCATTGTCAGAAGTTTAGATGAGAGCAGGGGTGTTCTCTGCCCCCAAAGCCACCCTCCTTCCTGCAACTGCAGGACATCTGCGTGGTCAGACTGTGCCCACAAGGGGCTCGGGACACCGAGAACTGCCGCCTACTCTATTCCTACCTCAACAATAAGCAGTGTCATGGCCTGGCCGCCGTGGAACATGTGTGGGTGGTCCTGCTGCCCCTGCCTGCCTTCCAGCTCCTGCCCACCAGACTGCGCCCTCTTGGAGGCCCCGGTGAGTGCCCCATTGCCCATACCAGACCCTGCCTCCCCTCAACCGTGACCAGAGGGGGCACAGTTGACAGTCACCCCTGTGTCCACAGAGGCAGGCCCATCTCAGGAGGGAATTCCTGTGACGGGCACATGGGGTAGCAGTGAGAGCTGTGTATTGCTTACCGTGGGCCAGGCAGTGTCCCAGAAGCTTTAACTATACTAGTTCATTTGGTCCTCAGAATAACCCCATCAGATTGGTGCTATCGGTTTCTCCATTTCACAGATGACACTGAGGTAGGGAGAAAGCAGGTGGCTTGCCCGCAGTCACAGAGCCAGTCAGCAGAGCCAGGCCTCACACCGGGCAGCTCGGCTGCAGAGACTAGGCTCCTAACAGCCACACAGACTGGCCTCTTCAACGAGGCATCCTGAATAGAAACTCATGGGACAGCCACATTTGATCCTGACCCAGTGCGACAGGGGTGGGACCCTCAAACAACTGAAGGTGTCAACTGACACAGGAAAGAGGGAAGTTTTCGCCACAGTTGTCCTAGGCCAAGGTTGGCCTTTGTGCATAGAGCGTGGCTTCAGCAGAACACCTGGGGTGAGAGTGGGGTGTCAGGGGTGGGCTGCACCCATTTCCAAGCAGAGTGCTTGGCCGTTCTGAGCTGCCTGTCTTGGAGACAATGCCGTAGACTCTGAACCCATATGGTCCTGAGGTCCAGCCATCTGTTCCCCACCTTCAGTCAGGGGAGTCATTCCCCTGCTGGAAGTAACCCAACCGAGATGACCTCCCCCTCCTCCTTACTGTTTCCAGCATCTCTCTCTTTTTTTTTTTTTTGTTTGTTTGTTTGTTTCCAGCATCTCATGGGCCCCCATCTCCTTGCTGGAGAGCCCTTCCTGGGGCCTAATCTGTAGACCTCCTGCTGCAGCCACCATGTAGCTTCTCAGGACTGTATGTTCTCTCCTACCTGGCCTTTGGACTCTCCGCTCCCTCTTTCCCCAGGCCTGGAAGCCACTCACTCAAGTCTGGTGTTAGCTGTACTGCTCCCCAAGGCAGGGGTTCTAGACACAGCAGAGTCCAGCCCTTTGTGGGAGAAGGTTCAAAAGATGACCTCCTTCAGCAGAAAAGTGGAGAGGAGACGCCATCAGCCGGAGGACAGGAGTCCCAATGTGGCCCCGAAGGGCTCTCCTCCCCCAAGGCCTGCTCTGCAGCAGAGCCAGGGCAATAGCAGCCTGGCTCCAAGGGGAATTTGTGCTTGGCCGAGGCCCCCCAGAGGCAGGGGGAGACTGTGGGGAGAGCCTGGAACCTGGCAAAGTCCTGGGAGAGGGCAGTGGCCCCCCAAACCAGGCCCGTGCCAGTCCTGGCATCCCTATTCAGCAGCACCATTTGGCCATGGCCACCACCTCCACAGGGCCTCATGTCCCCACCAGGCCCTGCTCCAGCATCTTGAATCCCTGGTGTCCATGAGCTACCGGCTCCAAGCCTCATTGATATCCCCTGGCCAGGGGTTCCGTCCTGCAACCCCTGCCCAGCCCCCTACAGCCCCTGGAAACCAGCCCCCTGCAGCCCCAGAACCCCCTGGCCAGACTCCTGACTCTTTGGGTCCTTCAGATGGGGCTGGCTCTGAGTGTACCTTCCCCTGAAAGACCTGAACCTCATTACCCACCAGAAGAGAGGCATTGATTCCCTCCCCAGTACTGAGTCCTGGGCTGTTCCAGAGGGAGTGGGCAGCCAGGGGAGGGTCAGCTGTTTGAATTTCCTGTTCTGCGTTCTGCTTGGTGTTGATTTTTGGTTCAATAAAGAGTTTGGCAAAGGTGAGACTGCATCTGCTGGCAGGTGTGGGTCGGGGTAGGTATTGTCTGTGAGTTTCTGTGCACAGATGTAGCAGAGCTAAAGGGCTGGGAATGGAAGGCAGCCGTGCCAGGTGCTTGACTTGAGATCTAGAACCATCACTGTGCCCCAGGGCCATTCTGCAAGTATTCTGCAAGTATTCTGAACTAGGTGGAAGAAACTATGGGAGAGAGGGCAAGACCAGGGTTGGGGGGACAGAAGTGAGGTTTTTGCAGGGGGGCACAGACACTGATTGTTAGGGAGAAAAAGAGCAAGTTGCAATGGTTTTTAAAGCTTTCAGTTACCAAAAACGATTTTTTTTCCATTACCAAGATTTTTCTCATTTGGATAGTTGGGTACCACCATATTTCCCATGCGTCTCTGTGTCTGTGTGCATCCGTGAGCATGGGTGTGCATCTGCGTGTATGTTATGTCTGCATGTCTCGGTGTGGGTCTCTGTCGAGTAAGTTGGGAGATCTACATGGAACCACTCTTCTCTGTATCCCTTGCTAGCTCCCTGGGACAGGGTGGGCATTCACGGTGTGGGGTTGGAAGCTGCTAGGGCTGGATGGTGCTGCTTTGCCTGGGGCCTGGAGTGAGCTCCTAATAGCAGCTACAATTGTAAAACATTTCAGTGTGGGGTGGACCTCGGGAGAACTGAGTCTGGGGACCCACCTGGAAACTAGCTGCCCCCTGGCTCCCTAACCCAGTAGGAAGAGGCAGGGCCTGGCTCACAGGAGAGAACTACTTCTGGCAGGACCCCTCCCACCTTCTAGCCCCCATCCCCTATCCTAAAGGGGTGTACCCCGTCCATCCCTCTGGAAGTCTACCCTTGCACCAGCCTCGCTCTGGATGGTGCCTGGCTGGGAAGGATGGGGAGTTGGTTTGGGGGAATCCCTCTTCTCTGCCCCATGAGCTCTCCTGCTGCCCTACCCGCGGCTGACAGCAGAGGGGGCCCTCGGCCTACGGATGGAGGTCGGGCTGGGCGGGATGGGAGGACGAGCTGGGGGCGGGGAGAGGTATGGAACTTAAGCCGGAGGGACGGGAAGAGGGGCCGGGGTGTGGTGCGGAGCAGGAGAGGACGCGGAGGGAGGTCTGGACTAGTGAACCAGGGGAGGGGTCGGGGCTCCTTCGGTAACTACCGGCTCCGACGGGCTGGTGAGGGCCACAGCGTCCGTGCTATATGTAAATGACACAAATTACTATGCAACCTGCAGCTTGATCTAAGTCGGCGGCTTGGGTCATGCAGTTGGGGCAGGTCGAGGGTTAGACGGCTGCGCACCCCTTCTTCCCAGGCCTAGAGCTCCCCCGCAGGGAGACAGGAGAGCGCGTGCTGCCTTCTCGGGGCACACGGGATAGAACAGGCTCTGGACTCTGGGCCGGGACTTCCTTTGGGAGCTTTGGTTTCCCCCCGCACCTTGCAAATGGGGGCGAGGACGGCCTTCTAGCACCTCGCCCCGCGAACAGGCCTAGAGGCGGACCGCGAAACCCTGCGGCGTGCTGGGGGCCGGGGCGGACGGCAGGACCTCCACCCACGTCTTGGCCCCAGGCCGCAAGCCCCTTTCCGCGGCTTTCTGGGTGGCAGAGGCCCGGAGCAAGGATTAGCGAGCTGTTGCTAGGGGGCGTGGCCGGCGGTTGCTCGGCTCGGGGGACGTTGCTAAGCAACGCTGGGCGGGGCTCACGTTGCTAGGCCCGAGTAGCAGTCCCCAGGGGCTGGAGAGGCACCCAGCTCCCCTCGGCTTCAGGGGCAGGCGCCCCCCGAAGCTGCTTTCTTGCGACTCTCTTCGGGCCTCAGCTGCCCTCGGCTGGACGCCGTCTCCGAGGGGCCTTCCGGTGCACACCCTCCGAGACGTGATCCTCTGGGCTCTGGAGCCGGGGACCCGGGGCCTTTGTGCACGTGTCTATGCGCTTGCTGGAGCGGTAGAGGGGGAGGGAGGGTCGCATTTGGGTTTCCATAGCAACCGCTCCTGTGTCATCCCATTTCTCCCAAAGGTTTTGAGCGGCGGCGTGTAGACATTTACATATATCTGCATTTCATTAGCATAGAGGCGGGGCCGGAACTTGTTGGGGCAACTATCCCTGGACGGTTCCCTTTGCTTCTCTCTCATCCCGCCTGAGGGGCACATGGGCCGCGCATGCGTGAGTGTTTTGCTTGTTAATGTCCCTAGAACCGGGGTGGGTGGGTGAACTGTAATAGTGACCTCGGGTTCTGGCCCTACCCCCTATGGAACCATTAGGATGAACTGGTCCAGGTACCCTTGACCAAAGACCTTGCCCAGCACCCCCAGGCAATACCAGGCCTGGTTAGAATCCCAGTTCTGCCCTTTGCTGTCTGTGTGGCCGTGGGCAAGTTTAGTTCCCCTCTCTGTGGCTCAGTTTCCTTCTTTGTAAATCCCGAATTCATCAGGTGATGTGAGGATTCGATGAGATGTCACTTTTATATACACTTACGCTGCTTCTGGCACACAGCAGGCACTTAGGCTAGCTTCTACCCACCCTCCATAGAATCCAGCTCCTCTCAGGACCCAACCAAAGCAAATCAACTTCCTTCGCAGCTCAAGACTTGACAACTAAACACCAGGAAGAGTTTCCAGATGTCGGGGGAAACCCTAGGACCACACCCTTGTCCTTTCTGGGCCTCAGTGTCCCCACACTGTGTGGGGTTCCTCTGCTGAGACATGGGGGAAAAAGGGCAGAGGTCAGCTCCGGGTGAAGAACCCTGTCACTGCGGGAGCTGTGTAGCAGTGCCATGAAGGCAGTGAGTTCTCTGTCATTGGGGATACGGAAGCAGAGGCTCAGCAGGATTGGGTGCACCCCTGCTAGGGAGTAGCAGATCTCCTCTTGGAATTTCTTGCTCTTGTCTGGACTCCAGTTGTCTGTATAGCCTCTTCAAAAGCTGGAAAGGCCTTCCTGGGTCTAACATCACCCCTTCCGGCTCTGGCCTTCTTGCCTTCCTTTTCCCCAGAGTCTCTGTAACCTTAGCCTTGACTGCTAGGGTCAGAGGGGAGGCAGAGGAGGTGTTCAAGGAGGAGAACCAGCTCCACTCTGTGTTGGTCTCTTAGTTCTCAATTAGGTTCAGATAATTAAGATAAATGAGGTTGGCTCCTCTCCTGGGTAGACAAAGTTTGTTGGTGATGGAGAGGGAGTATAGGAGCTGGATTCTGATTGGTTGGTTGGCTTTTTAGAGGTCGGGATTACATGAAGGCTATACCCTACAGTTGTCACTCTGACCGCTGTATGCCAGACTGCTGTCTGCCTGTGGATGGCAGTGGGCCAACTCCTTCCCTTGTAGCCACCTGCACTCCACAGGTAAGGGTTCCAGGGACAGGCTAAGAGCCTGTCAGTGCCCGGCTGGCCTGCTTGTGTCCCACTCTGGGGGCCAATTAAGTCTCCATCCCTAGCCGTGCCGATTAACAGTTAATAAGGCAGCAAACACCTGCAGCTACGGAGGCGAATTAAGAGCAACAGTCGGCATAATACACAACCCGATAAGTGAGCAATTAACAACCAGAGAAAGATTAATAGAAGCAATTACGTCCTCCTCGGAGCTCTGTAAATACAACTGTCAATGGCTGAGGGATTCAGTCCAGTCCGGCCCAGCCCCACCCCAGGCCATAGCCTCTGTAGGGAGGGGAGCCACCCGGCCCTCCTGTGGACTCCAGACCCTAGAGCCATATACATACGAGGAATACACATATGTGCAGACACATGCACGGACATATACAGACATACATTTGTGGAGTGATGGTCCACAAGATCCAGTCACAGAATACACACATTTCCCACTGTCATCCACACTTACAAAAATGTATACACAGAGATACAAGTCCTGCTGGAAATACACATAGATCCAGAAAAATATCCACAGTGTCACATAGAGACATTTCCCTATTTTACACAGGGCTAGAACCCCACAGACTATGAGACATACAGTGGAGTGTATACAAACAGGGACACAGTTATCTCCTCTTGGGGTCCCATATGCACGTGGCACTTGACCTTCTTTGCCCGCCTTGCAAAGGGTCATCCATAGAGAGCTGCAGCAGGGTATTGGACTAAGAACTAGAAACCAGGGTGAGAAGGGACAGAATGTGTGTGAACACACAAGCAAGCATGTCTGCATGCATGTAACTCTAATCATGTGTGTCCTCCCACTCATGGGCATGTTCTTGTGTGTAAACAGGCATGTGCCTTATATCTGTGTGCCCATATGAATGTTTGTATGTCAAGATGTGTGCATGGGTATGTGCACATGTGCTCGTGTCCAGTGGATCTGTGACTACTATGTGGGTTTCTGGTTCATGTGTGATACTGTGCCAGCGCTCATGACTGGATAATTGTGTGACTACTTCAGAGTGGCTTTATGTGTGTCCCATCTGTGTTGTGGCAGGTGATGAGAGTTACTGCAGGAGCTCCCCAGGGAGCCTGGGGGTTCTGATGGTGCCTGAAACCAGGGCCTGCCTCTAGGGAACAAGGTTCTAGGGCTCCTGGGGCAACGTGGTTTTCTTCACAGGAACTTCCAGCCCCTCTAGTGGGACTCAGCACTACTGGGCCTCACCCAGGCAGAGGGAGAGAAATGAGAACAATCTCTAAAGAAATGGACCTGGAGGGACGCCTGCGTGGCTCAGCAGTTGAGTGACTGCCTTTGGCCCAGGTGTGATCCTGGAGTCCCAGGATCGAGTCCCACATCGAGGTCTCCACAGGGAGCCCGCTTCTCTCTCTGCCTGTGTCTCTGCCTCTCTCTCTCTCTGTGTGTGTGTGTGTCTCTCATGAATACATAAATAAAATCTTAAAAAGAAAATAAAGAAATGGACCTGGAGGTTAATTTCTCCCGATTGAAGC